TGAAAACTCTAGAACTGCAGACACATTCATCACTTTCAAAACTACAGTTAGAAAACATCTTATCTCCCTGATCCACCCCGACAACTAACTACATGATAACCACCTGGTGGTTCGCAATTACTCACCCACTGACTATAAACCCAGAAATACTAATCTTAATCTTAAAATAATAAATCCTAACTAGTCATAAGTTTGCCTATGATACTCCAATATAGACACTTTGTATTGTTCCAAAACAAAAGCATTCACATTGCTAAACTCACAAATTATGATGTAGTCCCTTAGCCTTAATACCATAATCTGTAAGGATTTAATGTTAAGAATTAATCTAAGTCTGCTCGAAATGCCTAGCCAGGCTAGGTGTCCTAGTGGCCCCCTCTGTAATTAGTATTTTATAACATGTAAACCACACAATACCCAAAACCTGTAAACCCCACATTGTAACCCTTATAGAAAATAAACTTGAATTGAAATGTCCTGTTTAGGTTCGTGAGGAAAAGTTTGAGTGGGGAGTTTATATTTGCGTGTATTGTTCTGTGTATGTAGTAGGCACAGGAATATGTATGGATGTTCTTAATGGTAAGCAGATTCAGACTTGAAAATTGGTGGAGTATGCTGGTGGGAGTGGGAATTTGTTATTCTTACTGCTGCCTTTCGCTGGGTTATTAGGGGTTTTAGGTGATTGGATGTTGTTGATCCCCATGCACAAATTCCGTATGTAAGATAAGGGTATATGAGTGAATGGTACAGTGCCAGGAGAGCTGATTGTGGAACGTAGTACCTTATCTTTGATAGTATGCCTACAGTCTTGGAGATTTTCTTGATTTGTTGTATGTGTGTCCGGAACTTAAGGCTACTGTCAAGGTGGATACCTAGGAATTTTCCCTCTGCGAGTCTTGTGACTGCTGATCCATTTAGCATAATTTTAATTGGATCATTTGCAGCTTTGTTTCCAAACTGAATGAAATAGGTTTTATCAGTGTTCAGGGTAAGTTTGTTAGTCATCATCCAGGCAGATATTTTTTGTAATTCATCATTGACTGTGTTTGCTAGTATGACTGTGTTTGGGTGGGAAAATACATATGTAGTGTCATCTGCAAATAATATGGGTTTGAGTAGCTGTGATGCATTCGGTAGATGACTCAAGAAATCGTAATGACACGATTGCAAATAAACCATACCCCCGGCGGGATTGAACCCGCGGTCATGAGTCTCAAAACTCCAGCCCGTCGTGTTAGCCACTAGACCAGCTAGCCACAATAAGATTCATCCAACTAGGTATATTTCTACACCATAGGAAAGTTAGCACAGGCACCTCTGTGACCACAAATGCAAGTTTTTACAGACGAATCTCCAGCTAGCGTGGCCGTGACGAACTCTAGCTCAAGTCCCTTTATTTGCAATCGTGTCATTACGATTTCTTGAGTCATGTTGACGGCAGTGAAGGGACTTGAGCTAAAGTTCGTCACGGCCACGCTAGCTGGAGATTCGTCTGTAAAAACTTGCATTTGTGGTCACAGAGGTGCCTGTGCTAACTTTCCTATGGTGTAGAAATATACCTAGTTGGATGAATCTTATTGTGGCTAGCTGGTCTAGTGGCTAACACGACGGGCTGGAGTTTTGAGACTCATGACCGCGGGTTCAATCCCGGCCGGGGGTATGGTTCATTCGGTAGATCATTGATGTAGATGAGAAAGAGGTGTGGTCCAAGGACGCTTCCTTGTGGGACTCCTACTGTGATTGGTTGGGTGGAGGAGTTTGCATCATTTGCATACACATATTGAGTTCTGTTACTAAGGTATGACTTTAGGTAGTTGAGGGAGTGGCCTCTGATACCATAGTGCATTAATTTGGAGTACAGTAGTTCATGGTCGACTGTATCAAAAGCTTTATGTAAATTAATGAAAATGCCCAGCGGGACTTCTTTCTTTTCAAGTGCGGTACATATTAGTTCTAGCATGTGTATGATAGCGGCACATATGGAATTTGTGCATGGGGATCATCATCAGATCACCTATGGCCTCTAATGCAGTCAGCATGATGATAAATTCCCACTTGTGACAGCATACTCCACCTCTATTCATATGTCTAAATTTGCTCACCATAAAGATCATACACACTTACTCATGTTCCTACTACATACATAGGACAATACACACAAACATAAACCCTTTACCATAACACAAGACATGGATCTCTTTTTGATGTACCCCGTGTCCATATCAAATTGTGTAAAAGCTCTATGCACATAAAGGGCCCCAAAATCTAGAATTCATTACCAGAACATACTAAAGTAACCAGGCCTGAAAATCAATTTAAGACTCTTCTAAAAATCCACTTTCTCGCCCAGGACTAAATATTCAACACTCAATATTTAACATTACCAAAAATTCTCCCAATTACTTAAATCTTTAAACTTCAGGACAACATACAGTAAATTGATCTTATTGTTTGTTATACATTGTAATTCGACAAACTTGTACAACTATAATGATTCAATATTGAAATGTTCAGATTTCATTGTTTCAAATACTCAATTGTGCTTCATATTGTAAATTGTTTATGGCAATTTTACCACTAAACCTTTCATTGCTTGTTAATTTTAAGTTTGCTTATAATGCTCTGCACACAAGGGGCTTTTGGAATGTACACCCAACTACTATAATTCTTGTACAACTATGTATCATGTCCAAATAAAATATATGAATAAGAGTGTTGGTCACATAATAGTACCCCGAAATTTTAGCAGTTTCCAGTCTTGCAGGAGGTAGCTGGTAGGCCTACATATGAGAGAATGGGGCTAAGTGGTCACTGTGCACAGTATAAAAAAAACATATATATGTTTCGACCGTTTAACCCTTTGACTCTTTTGGTCGTATATATACGTCTTACGAGGTACCATGTTTGACGTATATATGCTCATAAATTCTAGCGGCTTCACATCAAGCAGGAGAAAGCTAGTAGGCCCACATGTGAGAGAATAGGTCTGTGTGGTCAGTGTGCACCATATAAAAAAAATTCCTGGAGCATGCGGTGCATAATGAGAAAAAAAAACTCTGACCGTTTTTTTTTTTTTAATTAAAATGCCGACTTTGTGGTCTATTTTCGTATAGTATTTATGGTTCTATTCTCATTTCTTGGCCTCATTTGATAGATTGGAAAACATATAGAAACAGAGGTGATTTTGATTGGTTTTTACTATAAAAAGAACCTGGAAATGAAGCTCAATGTTGGAGAAATGTTTGATTTTTGCCGATGTTCTAAAGTAAACGAATGATGTCATTGTCCAATAAATGTCCAACTAGCCATTCTGATATGCAGTCATGAATGGGTTGACATTATTTGTACAATTATTACAATATTGCAGTAGTCTGCATAACAGTAAATCTTCTATTTTTTGTTTGAATAAAAATTCAAAATAGAAAGCAAGAGTAATATCAGAGGGGCCTGGAGATGTGACTGGTAAACAAAGAAAGTCATTCTAGAGCCAGGAATGTCTGCATTGTTCATTCTGGACCTTATTTTGAAATTGTCACATTTTTTAATTTTCGTGAAATTGGCCAAATTGCAAATTTCTGACCACGTTATTGGGTAGTTGAAATCGGTAAATGGGCAGTTTCTTGCACTCATTCGGTAGAAAAAATGGAGTTCTAAAGAAATAGCTATGAGTTTGGTCGACTGGAACAGTGGAATTAGCCGAAAATAGGGCTCAAAGTGTGCGAAATTGCCGATTTGTAAATATCGCCGAGGTCGCTAACTTTGCGAGACCGTAATTCCATCAGTTTTCCATCAAATTTCGATTTTTTGGTGTCATTACAATCGGGAAAAGATTCTCTTATCATTTCATAAGATTTTTTTTTTTTTTTTAAATTTTGCGACACCAGGAGACACCTCAGGATTGGGGGCTGTGACAGTCAAGGGGTTAAGGGTTAATACAAGAAACGGCCCATTTACCGATTTCAACTACCCAATAAAGTGGTTAGAAATTAGCAATTTGGCCAATTTCATGCAAATTAAAAAATATGCTAATTTCAAAACAAGGTCCAGAATGAACAGTGCAGATGTTCCTGGCTTTAAAATAACATTTTCTTTGTTCATCAGTCATGTCTCCAGGCCCCTCTGATATTACTCTTGCTTTCTATTTTTAATTTTTATTCAAACAAAAAATAGAAGATTTACTGTTGTGCAGACTTCTGCAATATTGTAATGTCTAAATAATGTCAACCCATTCATGACTGCATATTAGAATGGCTAGTTGGACATTTATTGGACAATGACATCATTTGTTTACTCTTGAACATCTGCAAAAATCAAAAATTTCCCCTAGTTTGAGCTCCATTTCCAAGTTCTTTTCATAGTAAAACCAATCAAAATCAACTATTTCTGTAATGTTATCCATTCTATCAAATGAGACGAAGAAAACGAGAATACAACATACGAGAATACAAAAATACGCCTCAAAGTCGGTGTTTTAATCCTAAAACAGTCGGAATTTTTTTTTCTCATTATGCACTGCGTGCTGCAGGATTTTTTTTATACAGTGCACACTGACCACACAGACACATTCTCTCGTATGTGGGACTACCAGCTTTCTCCTTCTTGATTAGAAGCCGCTAGAATTTTTGAGTATGTATGCGTCAAACACGGTGGCTTTTAACCTGTATATATATGACCGAAACAGTCAAAGGGTTAAATATGGTCTGGTATCATTTTATTATTCATACTAAATTGAATTTTGTTCCTTTTATATTTGCAATAATTGAGGCTTTGCTGTATACTTCTCCCTAATATTTACCTGTGGAAAAATACATATGCAATTTGTATGCATGTCTGTATTCCACAAGAAGACAAAGTATTTCATATAGTACTGTTCTCAGGTTTATATTTAATGTTTGAGTAATAATTTTATGTTAAACTGTGTATTATCTGGGGAATAGTATACAGTATGTTTCCTTAATGATGATAATAGTTATCCATGTATAATGGTATAAAACTTGCAGCGGTGATGAAATTGAAGATGCTGTAGACCCAGTTAATGAATATCGTGATGATGAGACTAGTGCCAAGCCTGTTACAATATCCTCCACTACAACCAAAGCATCAATAGCACCGCCTGCAAAAAAATCTTCCAAACCCTCAAAAATGGTGGATTTAGGAGCAGCAGCAACTTTTGGCAAGGATGCTTCACAGCAGCCACAGGTACTTAATAAAATAAGTATTCCAAATTTCCATATTTGTATGTATGCCCTCCTGCCTGCCTTAGCAGGAGATTACTGGAGAGGGTGGGGATGTGGCAGCTTAGTCATTTCCTCTCTTGAAAATATTAACTATCCAATGGGCATCTTTATTGACCTAAAAACAAGCCTTGGGTTCAGTATACCACCACATTCTACTACTCAAATTAGAACAGACTCGGAGGCCATGCTCTTTTGTAAATGAAATCTTGCCCAAGTGACAGACACCAACTTATGTTCTCTGTCATTTACTATCTACATCAGTGACCATCCTAATGCTTCCTAGAAACTTAGGCCTTTGCAGAAGACAACTTTTGTCATTTCAAGTGCTGATTCATCCACAATCAACAACACAGTAAATGTAGAACTTGCAAAAATATCTACAATACTTTGATCACAACCAACAGTCTCACATTCATTATTAACAAGACCTTGTATATAATGTTTGGGAACAAAGCTAAAAACGTTAATTTGAATATAAAAAGACAATATACAGCTAATAGGCAGAATGAGGGTAAATTCTTTGGAATACACCTGGACAGCAAACTAAAATTCATCACATACATCCAGAACATTTCCATAACAGTAGGCTTTTTCTCCATGTAAGGTTTTTTTTTTTTTCTTTTTAACCCTGGCCATCTCCCACTAAAGCAGGGTGACCTGAAAAAGAAGAAATGAAAATTTTCTTCTTTTTTACATGGGTAGCTTATAGAGGAAAAGGGTTACTAGTCCCATGTTCATGGTATTTTAGTCACTTCTTATGATATACCTGGCTTATGGAGGAAGGATTCTTCTCCACTTCCATGGTGTCTTTGAAGTCTTATTATCAATATTTTGGCTGTTTAAGGTTGAACTGCACACTGTTACCTAACAATAATAGGTATGTTATGAATTTTTATTGAGTGTGGTTCATTCATCTTTAAAAACTACAGTAGGGCTCCGCTTTATGGCGTTTTGCCTTATGGTGTTACACTAATATGGCGATTTAAAATTATGACCAAAACTTTCTATACAGCGAGCGATCTTTCAAATGCAGTGCTCGACACCCGGTTTGTTTGCATTCTCCATAAGCACATCTCTCTATTATGTAATAATCACTCTTGGGCACATTAAATGTCTTATTTTACATTAATACAGACATTTTCTTTTATCCATTTATGATATTTTCTTCAAAATTATATAAGAAACATGGTACATAAATACTGTATTTTGTTTATATTCTATGGAGGTGGTGTAGCTGGGCGAAGGGAAAACATTACTTCACCCCTTAATACGTAACGCTTTTGTATACAATTCTCGGCATGAATTATTCATTGCTTCTCCCTTTGTTTATGATGGCATCTAAAGGTAGTTGATAGAATGATTAAACTCGGTGAACATAGCATGTCGATGGTAATAATTTTATTAGTCTTGAAGACACCATATTAATAATGATAATAACAGTAACACAGTAATAATCTGAGGTGCATTAAATGTTGTATAAAATGTTAGACATTTTGCTTAATCCATCTAAATACACCTCACAGTAGAATAAATTAACATATGAGATGTGGTAGTAGGTTGGTAGACAGCAACCACCCAGGGAAGTACTACCGTCCTGCCAAATGACTGTGAAACAAAAACCTGTAACTGTTTTGCATGATGGTAGGATTGCTGGTTTCTTTTTCTGTCTCATAAACACGCTAGATAACAGGGATATCTTGCTTCTCCTACTTACACTTTGGTCACACTTCACAGACACGCACATGCATATATATATATACATACATCTAGGTTTTTCTCCTTTTTCTAAATAGCTCTTGTTCTTTTTTATTTCTTCTATTGTCCATGGGGAAGTGGAAAAGAATCTTTCCTCCGTAAGCCATACGTGTCGTATGAGGCGACTAAAATGCCGGGAGCAATGGGCTAGTAACCCCTTCTCCTGTATACATTTACTAAAAAAGAGAAGAAGAAAAACTTTATAAAACTGGGATGCTTAAATGTGTGTGGATGTAGTGCGGATGACAAGAAACAGATGATTGCTGATGTTATGAATGAAAAGAAGTTGGATGTCCTGGCTCAAAAGCGAAACAAAGCTGAAGGGGGTAGGAGAGTTTCAGTGGGGGGAAATAAATGGGATTAAATCTGGAGTATCTGAGAGAGTTAGAGCAAAGGAAGGGGTAGCAGTAATGTTAAATGATCAGTTATGGAAGGAGAAAAGAGAATATGAATGTGTAAATTCAAGAATTATGTGGATTAAAGTAAAGGTTGGATGCGAGAAGTGGGTCATAATAAGCGTGTATGCACCTGGAGAAGAGAGGAATGCAGAGGAGAGAGAGAGATTTTGGGAGATGTTAAGTGAATGTATAGGAGCCTTTGAACCAAGTGAGAGAGTAATTGTGGTAGGGGACCTGAATGCTAAAGTAGGAGAAACTTTTAGAGAGGGTGTGGTAGGTAAGTTTGGGGTGCCAGGTGTAAATGATAATGGGAGCCCTTTGATTGAACTTTGTATAGAAAGGGGTTTAGTTATAGGTAATACATATTTTAAGAAAAAAAGGATAAATAAGTATACACGATTTGATGTAGGGCGAAATGACAGTAGTTTGTTGGATTATGTATTGGTAGATAAAAGATGTTGAGTAGACTTCAGGATGTACATGTTTATAGAGGGGCCACAGATATATCAGATCACTTTCTAGTTGTAGCTACACTGAGAGTAAATGGTAGATGGGATACAAGGAGAATAGAAGCATCAGGGAAGAGAGAGGTGAAGGTTTATAAACTAAAAGAGGAGGCAGTTAGGGTAAGATATAAACAGCTATTGGAGGATAGATGGGCTAATGAGAGCATAGGCAATGGGGTCGAAGAGGTATGGGGTAGGTTTAAAAATGTAGTGTTAGAGTGTTCAGCAGAAGTTTGTGGTTACAGGAAAGTGGGTGCAGGAGGGAAGAGGAGCGATTGGTGGAATGATGATGTAAAGAGAGTAGTAAGGGAGAAAAAGTTAGCATATGAGAAGTTTTTACAAAGTAGAAGTGATGCAAGGAGGGAAGAGTATATGGAGAAAAAGAGAGAGGTTAAGAGATGGTGAAGCAATGTAAAAAAGAGAGCAAATGAGAGAGTGGGTGAGAGGGTTATCAACAAATTTTGTTGAAAATAAAAAAAATTTTTTGGAGTGAGATTAACCAAGTTAAGAAAGCCTAGAGAACAAATGGATTTGTCAGTTAAAAATAGGAGAGGAGAGTTATTAAATGGAGAGTTAAAGGTATTGGGAAGATGGAGGGAATATTTTGAGGAATTTTTTAAAAAGTTGATGAAGATTTGGAAGCTGTGATTTCGTGTATAGGGCAAGGAGGAATAACATCTTGTAGGAGTGAGGAAGAGCCAGTTGGGGAGTGTGGGGGAAATTCGTGAGGCAGTAGGTAAAATGAAAGGGGGTAAGGCAGCCGAGATTGATGGGATAAAGATAAAAAAGTTAAAAGCAGGTGGGGATAAGTTTTTGGAGTGGTTGGTTTCCAATTATTTAATAAATGTATGGAAGAGGGTAAGGTACCTAGGGGTTGGCAGAGAGCATGCATAGTTCCTTTGTATAAAGGCAAAGGGGATAAAAGAGATGCAAAAATTATAGGGGGATAAGTCTGTTGAGTGTACCTGGTAAAGGTATGGTAGAGTTATAATTGAAAGAATTAAGAGTAAGACGGAGAATAAAAGGGTAGCAGATGAACAAGGAGGCTTTAGGAAAGGGAAGGGGGTGTGTGGACCAGGTGTTTACAGTGAAACATATAAGTGACAGTATTTAGATAAGGCTAAAGAGGTCTTTGTGGCATTTATGGATTTGGAAAAGGCGTTGACAGGGTGGATAGGGGGCAATGTGGCAGATGTTCAAGTGTATGGTGTAGGGGTAGGTTACTGAAAGCAGTGAAGAGTTTTTACGAGGATAGTGAGGCTCAAGTTAGAGTAGTAGGAAAGAGGGAAAATTTTTTCCCAGTAAAAGTAGGCCTAGACAAGGGTGGGTTTATGTCACCGTGGGTTTTTTAATAATTTATAGATGGGGGTTTAAGAGAAATAAAGCGAGGGGCTTGGGAAGAGGCGTGGATTAAAAAAAAAGAATCACACACAAAGTGGGTTTGTCACAGCTGGGTCTTGCGATGACACTGTGCTCTTTGGGGGATTCTGAAAAGAAGTCGAGATTGGGGGATGAATTTTTGGTAGGGTGTGAAAAGAAGAAAATTAAAAGGGGAATCAGGAAAGAGTTAAGGTTAGAGGATAACAAAAAAATTTGGTGATGAAAAATTGAAAATCAGATTGGAGGGAGAGAGTATGGAGGAGGTGAAAAGTATTCAATTTTTGGGAGTGGGGCGGTCGCGGAAAGGGGCTTTAAAAAGGGGAAACATAGAATTGATAGGGAAAAAAGGTGAGTGGTGCATTGGAGTCTGTGGGACAAGAACTTTTGTCCCCGGAGGCAAAGAGGGGGAAGTATAAGATAGTTTTACCAAGTCTTAATGGGGGTGAAGCTGGGGGATGAAGTTGCAGCGAGGGGAAGGCTGGAGGCAGTGGAGATGTCATGTTGAGGGCAATGTGGGGTTTGTGAATATAATGCAGAGAATTCATATTTTGGGGAAGTTAGGAGGAGGTGGGGGTTACCAAAACTGTTGTCCAAGGGGCTGAGGAAGGGTTGTTGAGGTGGTTCGGACATGTAGAGAGAATGGAGCGGAAACAGAATGACTTCAAGAGTGATCAGTCTGTAGTGGAAGGAAGGCGGGGTAGGGGTGCCTAGGAAGGGTTGGAGGGAGGGGGTAAAAGGAGGTTTTGTGTGCGAGGGGCTTGGACTTCCAGCAGGCCTGCGTGAGCGTGTTTGATAGGAGTGAATGGAGACAAATGGTTTTTAATACTTGACGTGCTGTTGGAGTGTGAGCAAAGTAACATTTATGAAGGGATTCAGGGAAACCGGCAGGCCGGACTTGAGTCCTGGAGATGGGAAGTACAGTG